ATTGAAGAAGGTAAAAAAATTTTCTTTTTCGATAAAGTTTTTATCTGCCCTCATTTGTTGTTTTAGAGGCAGAAACTCAATCTTGAACATCTCCATTTGGTTCCTGTATATCATATCACCATCAACATGGAGCATTTATGACCGAATTTATGAAAAGGCCGAGAATTTCATTGTTCATTTCACTAAGCTTGGTACTGAACACATGCCTTTATATATCCTACAATGGTACTCATATTTCCAATTGTTATTGTTTTAACGCAACTACACATGCCAGTATCTGGAAATAGGGTTACTTGCAAGGTCAAGATTTGGACTATTTTCAAGTCTGACTTGGTCTTTGATGGGGCCCTGGGGTAACTCAGGACAAAAGCATAGAATTCATCAGCATAGATGCATAGGTAGGTGAAGGTGTTAGCTGGGATAGAGGTGTTATGATGTTCTGTTTTTCCTTCCTTTTTTCCTTTACTTTAATCGAAAGTGTTACCAATTTACCCCCTCAAAAGCTGAAAATGCAAGGTGCATGTGTGTAGTTAACGCTACAATGATGGAAAACAGGCATTGGGGGCTAATGCTACTACAAAACTGGGGTTGGGGATGACGCTACCAAAAAAATTAGGTTAGGGACCAAGTTACACACTAGATTGGGGACTAATGATGTCTTACTTTTTTGTCTCTGAATGTTTCCGCAATTGCAGGAGTCTTTGTTCTTATGATCCTCATTCCCTCAGTTGCAACAGAAAGAGCCAGTGCCAAATTTGTTTTTACTCACTTCAACACAGATAATGGTGAAGGAATTAACAGCAGAATTTACATATTTGTTCTGGGACTTCTCTTGAGTCAGTATACCATAACAGGGTATGATGCATCTGCCCATATGGTGAGTTCTGTTACCTTATTTATTAATCATACATTATCTTCTGTTGCTTAGCTAGCTTAATCATACATTATCAATAATTTTGATTGGCTGTTGGACCGTGTAAAGGTGCAGTCTGGTGTATTGAAAGCTAGTCTTTTGTGTACTATGCCTTCTAGGATTACCTTACTTATTAATCATACATTATCTTCTCTGTGTCTTAGCTTGCTTACTGATCATACATTATCAATGATTTTAGTTGGGTGTTGGACTGTGTAAAGTTGCAGTATGGTGTATTGTAAACTAGTCTTTGGTGTACTATGCCTTCTAGGATTACATGACTCTCCAGATGATGATTAGCATTTCCTTTTACAATTCATACTATAATTACTGAAAATGGAAAGCAAGATGAATTCGGCATCTCAAACTTCCCAACTTGCAACCGAATTTTCTGACAATGGCTGCTTTCAGACAGAGGAAACCAAGAATGCAGATGAGAATGGACCAAAAGGAATAATAAGTTCCATCGGCATATCTATAATCGTTGGATGGGGTTATGTACTTGGTATCACCTTTGCAGTAACTGACATTCCACATCTTTTGAACCCAGACAATGATTCTGGTGGTTATGCCATTGCTGAAATATTCTACCAATCTTTCAAGAGTAGATATGGCAATGGTGTTGGTGGAATTATTTGCTTGGGTATAGTAGCTATTGCCATATTTTTCTGTGGCATGAGTTCGATTACCAGCAACTCCAGGTAAACATTCTTCTCCTCTGGGATCTGCTCATACCTGAAGTTAATAGAATAGCAACTTAAGATGAAAATCATTTTCAGGATGGCTTATGCATTCTCAAGAGATGGTGCCATGCCATTATCATCATTTTGGCACAAAGTTAACAAGCAAGAGGTCCCCGTAAATGCCGTCTGGTTATCAGCTTTTATGGCATTTTGCATGGCCTTGACGGTATGGACATTCACTTTTTTACATTCTCCTAATAGTTCATTACTTAATGGTTATCTACCTGCTGCTTAAAAAATTGGCAGATTTGATGTTCATACTTTTGGCATCCTAGTAATACTACAAGACAAACGATTTATTTCTTCCTCCAAATGCTAATAGCATATCCCATTATTTTTGTTCAATATTTGCAGTCACTTGGAAGCATAGTAGCATTTGAAGCGATGGTATCAATAGCAACCATTGGACTTTACATAGCTTATGCACTGCCAATCTTTTTTCGAGTGACTTTGGCTCGAAAATCTTTCAATCCTGGGCCTTTTAACTTGGGGCGGTTTGGAGTCCTTGTCGGTTGGATTGCAGTCCTCTGGGTGGTAACAATTTCAGTTCTCTTCTCCTTGCCAGTTGCCTATCCCATTACTACGGAAACTCTCAATTATACTCCTGTTGCTGTTGGTGGCCTACTCATTCTTACTGTTTCATCTTGGATCCTAAGTGCTAGATATTGGTTTAAAGGTCCTATTACAAACATAAATAGCTAAAGTCATGCATTAATTTCAGGATTATTGTATTTTATGAAAAATAAAGCATATATTTTTGTGCTTTGATAACCATGAGTGGTTTTTTATGATATTTAGCAACATTGCAGTTGTTGCCACTGAACCTACTCATGCTAGGTTACTCTAATACACTAATAAACCAAATGATCATCAAAGACGGGGAGCCTGAACTGCTGAGAGAGCAGTTTGCACTGCTGCTAATAGGTGGATGCCAAGATTGGGACTAGGCTGTGTCCAAATAATATAGACAGAAACTTCTGTCCACCAAATATATAATTTTTTTAATTCCTTGAAAAAATATGTTCTATTGTTGAGGATATGGGGAAATTGTTTCCTGAAGATGCACCTTCTTTTGAAGATCCACAAGATCATTCTGATGAAAGTATCAAAACAGCAAGGTGTACCAGGTGGGAATATTTGATTGAAACGCATTCTTCATTTTTGCCACTTTGTTAGTGATGGAAACAGCAATACTAACTTAGATAATGTTTTACATGATAGCACAGAATCCAAAATCCAATCTGCTAATTATATCCAGATGCAAGCTAATATTGTCTGTTACATTCATCATAAAATATAATTTTTATCTTACTAATGATTTTAAAACAAAATTTTGCAATTATTTGACATGGAAAGTTTCATACACTTGTATACCAAAATCAAGCGCTGCTGAAAATCTTGTTCATTTCTGTTTAAATAGCAGTGAATATAGATGCTCTAGTCTGTACGAAGAAACATTGCACCCGTGCTGAACAGTGCACTCCCCTGCTTTCGCGACTTCCAGTCAGTTGAACTGCGAATTCCCCTTCTTTCTTTTTGCTGAGAACTTTTCGCTTCATTTTCATCCCTTGACTGGCTTTGCTTCTTATTTGAAAGGTAAGATGAAGGAGCCAATTCTGGCTTCGGATCCAACTTTTGGTTTACCTTCGTCAAGCGTGTTGTAAATTTGCCTACTTTAGGTGAATCGTCAGAAGAATTAGGTCCCTTTGTGATTTTTTTTCTTGGAGTAACTCCGTGAGTGTCTTGGGAAATGGGTACGAATCTAGAAAAACATGGGAACTTACGAGTACCGCCATTGTTTTTTCTTGAAGTAACTCTTCCATCTGTTTTCGGGGCTACATCATCCGGAGATGCATTACTTCTGTTGTTGAATATACGAGTACCACCATTGTTTTGGGCATGAAAAGAACACAAGTTCCTTGCAATATTGTTGGATAACTTCTCACACCCTATTGATGTTTCCGAGTTTTCAACTCCAGGACTGGTTGAGGCAATTGCAGAAAGAAACTTTTTTATGCAATAGTTGAAATTCTCCTTCTTGTGACCATTTGACGGTCCAACTGAATCATCTCGCTACAGAATCTGCTGATATTTGTTTACAGCAGATGAATTGGATGATGTTTAGACGATTTTAGGTCTAGCAGTGGACGGAGAAGCTGCTTGAGAACCCTCAGTAGTATGGGATCGAACTCTATATTTCTGAAAGAAAAACACATGGTAAATAAAAATTGACATTATTAGTAAAATCCAGCCGAACTGATTAATGTAAGGAAATGGAAGTGAAGAATTACCTCTAAAATAAAGCACTTTAGAGAGAGAGAGA